GAACTTCGCAGCCTTATTATACCCTGCTAAGCTACTGGTGGGCGTCCTTTAACTCGAATTCACACCTCACTGCTGTGCCAATTAATGGAAACTAGAACTGTTTTGTAGTATTCAACAGCTTCGCCTTTGTAGAAGAATCTAATGAAGGTTATAAAGCACACACAGCTCTTAGATTGTCCATCAAGAGCAAGTGGCTTTGCCTTGGCTCTTTTATGGCCGCTTGAGGTGGGATGGATCTTTTCGGAGACCTGTCTGTTCATAGCATGCCAACAAAGGCAGGACGTCGGACCAGTTGAGGTTAATGAGGAAGAAAAGTCAGCCCTTTCTCCTTTGTGACACCACCTTTTTTTATGGGGCTTGGATATTTGAACAAACGGCTGTGAATAGGGCCATCTCTTTCTATCTCTGCATGTGTCTTTCTTTCTCTACACTACATCAGCATGCTTGGAATGATGTCAGATGAGTACAATCCGCCCCTCGTTTTCTGTGCTGTGGAGTAGAAAAAGGAATGTCCCAGATTTCTAATGAACTAAAGCGAAAGTATTTGACTGGAAAAACACGGCGCTGTCATGGAGTGCTGCTGTTTTTCCTGTTTATTTATGGACAAAGACCCGGTTAAGCAGCAGTGTGGTGGAACCGGAGGAACCTAGCTTTAATCACTAGTTAGTCGTTCCTTCGGGTTCGCGGGCCGTTTGCTGAGTCTGGGCTTTCTGATTGGCCTCGGGGTGCTCGTACGCGTAATTAAAAAGGATTTGATTTTCGGGTCATCGGCTGACTCAAACAGGGCTCGGTGCTCGGAGTGTCTGCGACGTGTGCCATCCGGCTCTGTTCAATGAATATTTTACCATAATTATTTATGCTAATGGATTCTGCTGGCTGCCGCTAGATGATAATTGATAGCCTGTTGCTTATCACACTGTCATTTGGAAAGGTGTCGCATCTCTCACGCGCCTGCAAATTCGTCTTCTCGCCAGTAACAACATATAAATGCTTCTAATTGTTTCTCTTGAGAAGTTCGCCTGGTTTTTGCACTTCAAAATGGCAATATGTGTTTTCATGGGTCTTTTAAAGGGAAAGTTCACACATCAGTGAAAATTGTCATTTTCTTGCCTTCATGTTGTTTCAAACCTGCATATGAATTTCTTTCTTATGTGAAACAAAAAAGGAGATGTTAAACTACTGACTGGGCTGTCAAGCTCTAAAAAGGACAAAGAAAGAACACTTTTATTCGTGTGGAAGATTTCAAGTCTTCTGAAATCATACAATTGATTTGAATGCACAGAAATTAGATTTCAGTCTATATACTACCATTCAAAAGTTAAATACAGTAAAAACTGTAATATTGTGAAATGTTAGTACAGTTTAGAATTACTGTTTTCTATTTGAATATATTTAAAAAAAATAATTTATTCCTTTAATGCAAAGCTGAATTTTTAGCATCTTTACTCCAGTCTTCAGTGTCACACGATCCTTCAGAAATCATTCTAATATGCTGATTTGCTGCTCAAGAAACAATTATTATCATCAATGTTGAAAACAGTTGTTCTGTTTATATAGAAATCTATATAAGTTCTATATCTATATTTATAGAAATCTTTTGTATCAATGTAAAAGTCTTCACTGTCACTTTAGATCAATGTAATTTCCTGAAACATGTCAAATTTACTTTACTAATAGAATTGAATGTACACAAATGAGATTTCAGAGCTAAATTTTCCGTCTGTTTGTCACACAAATATCTTCAGAAGACTTGAATTTGAAGACTTTTTTTTTTAGCTGAACAATATCCATTCACATTTATGAAGAAATGAGCAGTATGAACATTCTTCAAAACATCATCTTTTCTGTTCCATGGAAGAAATTAAAGGGGTGGTTCATTGCGATTTCACTTTTTTTAAAGTTAGTTAGTGTGTAATGTTGCTGTTTGAGCATAAACAATATCTGCAAAGTTACGAAGCTGAAAGTTCAATGCAAACGGAGATATCGTCTTTTAAAATTCTGGCAGTTTAATGCCTACAAAAACGGCTGGTAGGGACTACAA